CCCCCCCAAAGCCAGAAACCAAGAAGTCAGGAATCATGATGAGAACATTGGAGGAGGTACTTAGAGGCAGGGCTATGTAGGGAGTAGTGAAGGAGAGAGCAGGGGAAGGGGTTCTAAGACCTCCTAGCCGGCAGGGCTTCCTGGAAGAAGCCCAGGCCTAAACATGGAATGGTGTAGCCAGTAAGTTCCCAGCTCACATACTAGGGTAATGGAAAAAAAATCCTGGTTTGAAAGGCTCTGTCTCCACCACTAAGTATCAGTGTAACCTTGGGCCAGTTAGTTTCCTTTCTCTGGGCTACAAAATAAGGTTAAACTAAATGACTCAGAAGATCCTTTCCATCTCTTATATTATGGGTATTATACGCCCTTTAACCCTGACATTGTTCCTTCTTACTTATGACCTTCCAAGATTCTCTTGCAGAGAAACCAGGCCTATGCCCTAAGGATCTCCTTCCATGCAAAGAGCTATGCCATGGAGACAATTCCTGCCCTCATGGCCAGAAATGCTGCAGCACAGGCTGTGGGCACATGTGCCAGGGAAACATTGAAGGAGGTAAGGTGGCACTTCCAGAGTCTAATCATCAAAGACTGCATAGAGCCCATTCTCAGAGGTGGTACTTGGGATACAAAGGGACAGGAATTTATGCCCTCATCCCCACCCCTAGATAGCTTCAATCTGCCTGGAGAGCTCAGCCCCTTGATGGGCCAGGGACTCATCTTGGTATCACATGGGCCAAGAAGGGAAGTTAGTGTAACAAAAGGCTATTGGACTGGGCATGCAGAACCCTGGGTTCACGCACTACTAACTTTAACCACTAATGTATCACCTTGGAACTCACTGGGCCTCATTTTCCTCATCTCTAAAATTATGAGGGAACTCAGGAAAGTCATATAGCATGATGAGACCAGAAAAGATCTTAGAAGTCATCTAGCCAAACCTCTTGTTCTACAGATGAAGAAACAGTTGAGGTTCCAAATCACAGAGTGATCCAAACCAAGGCCTCCTGACTCCCAAACCAAGGGTCTTTGTACCCCCAACATGCTGCTTCTTACATTCTAGAAGATGAGTCCTTAGGGGCCTTCAAGTTCTAAACCCCTCTGACTTCAGTTGCCATGATCTAGAGTCAGTAGTTAGTCTGAATTATGCCTCTGAAGAAGACTCTGGGTGCCAGGTAGGAGCTTAGGAAGGTATGGCTGGTGACCTGCTCCTCTTCCCCTCGCTTCTCTCCACATAGGACGGGTCGGCCATTGTCCACTTGTCCTCCAGAGCCATTGCATAATGGGCTGCAAAACTGATGAGAACTGTCCACATGGAGAGAAATGCTGCAAGTCTGACTGTGGCCAGGTCTGTGTGGCCCCTATCCTAACTCAAAACTCCACCCAGACTCCTGAGGGGGAGCCTGCTGCTCAAAACTTTACGGAGACTCCAATCCCCGAAATACTTCCAGGTGAGCTTAGCCTTCATGTCCCTAGATTCATTTACTAAGTTCCTACCATGTGTTGGGTTTTGTGCAATTTGGGAGGGATGCTGAAGAGGAGGTAAACTCAGTGCCTTCTGGGAGCCCCCAGTCTCTACAAAGAGACAAAACAAGAGAGATAACAACCCCAATCAGTCTATGTTAAGTGCCCTGGGAAAAGTATAGTCAGGGATCTATACAGGGAGGAGAGATCCCTGTGTGCTGGGATGGTCAGGAAAGGCTTCTTGGAAGAGGTGGGCCTTACAGAATCAGCAAAACTTAGATGAGAAAAGAGAATAGGAGAAGATATTCCAAGGGCCTAGATGGGAATGTGCTCAGTGTGCCTAGGGGACAATGAGGAGACCAGGCAGGCAGGAGCAGGAAGCTTCTATAGGGGAGAAGTGAGAGGTAAGGGGGAGGGGAGGGATAAGTGGCTTGAAGCCAGGGTGTAAAGGGCCTCAAATGCTAGGCTAAAGGAGTTTGAGTTCAATCTCGTACTAAAGAAACATCCATGAAAGGTTTTTGAATGGAATGGGAAAAAACAGTTGAGGAGGATACTTGTCTTCTGAACCCTAGGGGTGGAACAGCAAAACCTCAAAGTTGACCCTCCCCCACCCAACTCTTCCTACCCTGTGTAACTAAATATCTCTTTCAGTTCTAGAAACCCAGGTGAACTAGGTGACCTGATGTTTCAGAGCTTCCTCAACTCCAGGAATGGCGGGACTTCACTGGCCTCCTGGGGTCTCTTGCCTTGGGGAATAGATGGTCTTACTCACTGGCCCCTCAATTCTGCCCCCATTGCTCTCCTAGGACCCTGCAACACAGCTTTGGGGGGGGGGATTCTTCAGGTTCATTTCCTCCTCAATAAATGCTGATGTTTGTACTCCCTGTCCGTTCTGCTTCTGGCATCATGAGAAGATATGCAAATTCATGAAGTTATTTGAAGTTATTCTTCCCTGGGAGCTATGCCCACTAAGGCAAACAGGTTGGACCTAGTCCATGACTTGGTACAGAAACTCCAGGGAGTATCTCTGAAGCCCAGGGACTTTAAAGTGGGCTTAAAGATCCCATTTGTGTAAGAGCACAGAGCTAGTAGTAAGCAGCAGGGATGGTGTCTGAACCCAGGCCTTCTTGATCCCAAGCCCAGTACTCTTATCCACCCACCCTGTCCCTTAAGAGTAATATAAAGTTAGGGGGCAGCGAGGTGGTGCAATGGATGGAGCACCGGCCCTGAAGTCAGGAGGATCTGAGTTCAAATCCAGCCTCAGACCAAACACTTGACACTAAATGTGTGACCCTGGGCAAGTCACTTAACCCCAATTGCCTAAAAACAAAACAACACAAAACAAAAGAATAATATAAAGTCTACTTTCCAGGCTTCATCCTAGTGGGGAGTCTCAAAGACCATGCCAGAAGTTTATGAGCTCTGGTAGGTCCAGCCACATAGGAAAAACGAAGAGAGTGGGTCCAGCAATAGTCTAACTCAGGGGTAGGGCTCAAAGGGCCACACTTGAGAATCTAGAGGGCCACATGTGACCTCGAGGCCACAAGTTCCCCACCCCTGTCTAGCATCTACTATCCAGCGAGCCTTGCACCTACCTAAGCCCAGTGAAGCCCACTACCAGACACCCAGGGAATAGGACTAGTTTTTAGCCACAGTAACTCATAAGACACCCACTAAGTCATGGAGTGCTTGCATAAGATCAAGAAGAGGAGAGGAGTTGTTGATAAATCAAAATAAATTAATTTAAAAAAAAAAAAAAGAAGAGGAGAGGACTTGGGATAATTACCTGGTCCAAACTCTCATTTTACAAATGAGGAGCCCAAGGCTCAAAGAAGTTAAAGTGATTCACTTAAGGTTACATGAGTTAGTACATTGTGATCTCTAGGTCAGTGGAAGAAGTAGCCACCTGGATGAAACTGGAGCTTTTTGGAAGCATATTGATGTGGTTCACATTCATCTAAGGTTTACAACTCATTCAGTTATTCAGTCTTCACAACAACCCTATGAAGGACTCCAGAAATATTATTATCCCCATTTTACAGCTGAAAAAACTAAGGCTCAGAATGACTGTGACTTGCCTGAATCACGTAACTAGTAAGTAGTAAAGTCAGGGGAAGTAGAAACAGAGGGTCTGGAGAGGGCAGAGTCCAAACGCCCTGAGGCCAAGTGCTGGCCACTTTCCCTACTTTCTCACCTTTCCACTAATGTGAAAACACTTAGTATTCAAGCCCTGTGGAAAACTTGGAAGCCCAGATATATCTGGTCTGGATATAGGGATAGCACTCCACTTCTGGCTATGAAGGCCAAGGTAGATCAGCACCAGAATCCCAGGGGGAGAGGAGGTACCATGATGTTGGAATAGATGATCTCTAATTTAATTCAACAGACAGTTAAGATCTCTTTTAGCTCTATTTTTCTATGAAATTGAGAACTATTCTGGCTCCCAAAGTGCGCATCACATTTATTGACATTAACAGTAATAATAGGTGACGTGTCTTATAGGGCTTTACAGCTTTTTTTGTTGTGGTCAGTCCGGTAAATAAGCTCATTTCACCACAGACCATTGTCATGTTAACAATGGTTGTAGCTGGATCTGCATGGAGCTCCCAGAGGATAGTGGAGATATCTCGGAAGTATGGGACCTGGAAGGGACCTTAGATATGATTTATTCTCTTCCCTGCGTCCTCATTCCTCCCTTCAATAGGCCAGGGCTGGTTGGTCAGTTAGTTGATTGGCAACAACCTTTTGTTGTAACAAAGGTAACAAAGATAACAAAGGTAACAAACTGTCCTTCATTCTCTGAAAGGACCAATGAGACCACAAGGGTGATGTCTTGACTTGCATGTGAATTAGATTTGAGTAAGGCAGATAAGTGGGAGATGGCATACAGGGAGATGTCAGGACCTGGGAGGAGGAGAAGGAAGGAAGGAAGAAGTCAGGAACTCGGGCAGATGGCAAAGTTGGCAGAGCTGATCTTCAGCACCTACCAGATGGACCCCTTCTCTGGCCTTTGGCCACCAATACCTTATCTCTTCCCTACTTCCTATTCTCCACCTCCTAGTTATTCCTGTCCAGTAAATTTCATTCCCCTCAGGGCCCAACAAGTAAGCTGGTTTATCTGATAAAGTCACCCTAATCCCTACATTCTCCCCTGAAGAGGGAACATCTTGAAATAATAGAAAGTACAATGGACTATGAGTCAGATGACCTGAGTTCTAAACTCATCATAATGCTATGTGTTACTTGCCCATCTTCCTATCCCCTAGCTCACTGGTAGAGCTATGTAGACTGATCTTTGCTGGGTCCAATGAATATCTCACACCTGGCTCAGCCCAACCAGTTAAACACACTTCCTTGCTCCTTGAACAATGGACTGGGTTTTATTTCATCTAGAATAGCAGTTCTCAAAATGTGGGTTGAGAACCGTTGCGGGTCCCTGAGACCCTTTCAAAGGGTCCCAAGGTCAAAACTATGTTCATAATAATACTAAGACAATGACCTACTAAAATACTCCTTTTCCAACTTCATATCTATGTAAGGCTGGATTTTCTTCATGTCCTTCAACTGAAACAACATATTCTAACAGATTGAATGCGGAAGAAGATATGCTTTCCATTAAGCCAGAAATTAAAAAGATTTGTAAAAATATGCAAAATGCTGCTACTCTTTTTTGTTTTGGAAGATAGTTAATTTTCATCTAAAATGTTATTTATTTAATATAATGGGTTTATCATCATTATTTTAAATAAGATGATAGATATTTTTAAATTGCCATCAATTTTAATTTCTAATATGGCAAATACCAATAGATACGACACAAACAAAAGCTCTTTGGGGTTCTCAATAATTTTCAAAAATATAAAGGGGACCTGTGACCAACAAGTTTGAGAACCACTCATCTAGAATAGAATGACTCATTGTGGCAGGGACTTTTTATCCACCTAGGATCTCAGAATTCAAAGCTAGAAAGGTCATAGGATTGTAGGTTTAAAATTCAAAGAGACCTTAGAGGTCATCCGGTCCAACCCCTTCATTTTACTGATAAAGAAACTGAGACCCAGAGAGATTAAATCCCTTTCTCAGTGTCAAACATATTTGATGAAGTTAGAATTTAAACCCATGCGAGTCTCTGACTTCAAATTCACCATTTGTGCATCTATTCCTGGAGTTCTTAACCTGAGGTCCACAGGCCTTGGAGGTGACTGGGTAGATTTCAAGGTCCATGAACTTGGACGGGGAAAAAATTATATCTTTATTTCCATTAACTTCTAACTTTTCCTTCAACTGTGAATTTAAAAAATAAACAAATAATATTACTTGGAGAAGAAGTCAATAGGCTTAACCAAACTGTCAAAGAGAGCCATGACATTCAAAAGTTAAGAGCCTCTGATTTAGTCCTACTCCATCATTTTACAGATGAGGAAACAGAGGCCCAAAGAAGTTAAGTGTCCTTCCCAGGGTCACACAGATATTATGTGGCTAGAATTCAACCTACGTTCTCTGGCTTCAAAACTACTACACGTTCATCCAGTCCAATTTCTTCATTTTGCAGAATAAGAAACTGAGACCTAGACAGAAGTGACTAGCATAGGATCACATTAATAGTAAATAATAGAGTCAAGGATTAAACAAAAGTCCTTTGATTCCAAATCCAATCATCTTCTACTGTAGCCCATCATAAAGATCTACCTACTCTCAGTTGAACCAAGGCCCTTCTTCCCGCCGAAGCTAGAAACACAGTGTCCAATAAGTACTCAGAATGCAGGGTCCCACAGCTATATCTAGTGTTGTTCCCACCCCTACTTCACTACCTACTACTCATACCTACTTCCTGAAAACAGGTGGGTCATTCTTTCCCATTCCAGATCCATCCTCTGCCCAGGCCACTGCTGGGCTCCTAAGATAGGAGCAGACTGTTCCTTGGACTAGGGCCAGACCTAACCAGGCACAGCCAGGATGAAAACATGATGTACTATGAAGCAGATGGATGAATACAGGTGAGAGAACTACAGTGGCAGGTGGAGGGGGGACATAGGGTAGGGGAGGTAGTCCTCAAATATAATGCTCCCTTCCCCGGTTGCTACAAAGTTGGGGGGAGGGAGGATCACATGCCCCTGGCTCTTTACTCTCCTCTCCCATTTGTTAGAGTGGAAGTAAACCTCTCCCTTCTTTTAGCTCACAGAGAGGTATTGTGATATGGTAAAAAGAGTCCTGACTTTGGGATCAGTGTGCCTAGTTTGAATTCTGGCTGTATTACCTGTAAGAATATAAGCAAGTCTCTTCTTTTCTGTGGGCCTCAATTTCTACATTAATAAAAATGAGAGATCAGACTAAATTATCTATAACGTCTCTGCCACCTCTAATTCTTAGTTCTCTGTCTTCTTCCCTTACTCCCTACCTTCAAGGGCCTCAACTCCATTGGCCTAAGCATAGAGACCACTTTTATTTCCTTAGTTCACCTGAGGCAGAGATTGGATTTTTCAGAAATGAACATGATTTATAATAACTTGAAAATAACAAAAACTATCATGTATTGAAGGAACCACCAGAGCATGAAAGCAGTTTCCTAATACATCTATGATTAATAGACTATAGTCAGAAGAGGATTGGCTCTGGAGTCAGGAGACCTGGGTTTGAATCCCATTTCTGGTCTTTCCTGCCTGCATGACTATGGGCAAATCCCTTCCCCACTCTGGGTCTCAGTTTTTGCAAATGAGGGGACCTACAATCTCTATGATCCCCCTTCCAGCTCTAAATCTTATGACTCTATGACCCATAGAGGCC